ATAGGCCTGTAGGAGCTGATGTCACCGGATGGTTTCCCTGGTTTATGAATGGGAACTACTTCAGATGTGAGCCATGCACGTGGCTCATGCAGATGGCCTATATGCCAATACACCAATAGGCCCATACACCAACAGGCCCATACACCTATAGGCCGATACACCAATAGGCCGATACACCAATAGGCCGATACACCAATAGGCTGATACACCTATTGGTGTCAATAAACCGATAGGCTATCAGTTTTCTCTATGGGAATTTTTGCTAGGGGCCCGTAGTTTATTTAGCATGTAAACATAATTTCTCTAAAATGCCTGCAAAAACCAGCCTGTCTATAAATGAAAATGCGTCCTCAACGTTCTATGGACCTACAAAACTCGACTTTAATATCATAAACTGCCAAAACAACCACCCCAAATTATTAAAAAACCTACACTTGTGCAAGTGACACTGCTCCCTGGCGGCATTGGGACGGGAGTGAAGTCAGTTTGTTGTTCTCTCGATCGACAGCGGCAAAGGAATGACCTTGACAAGAATTTATGCAAGTTTAGACCTATTGTTTTTTTCTCGGCGCAGATAGTAGAAAAATAATCTTATACCAAAACCAAGCAAAGAAGTGAACCTGAGCCTCTCACGCTAATCCATGTGCTCACCCATGTCAGCTGCTGCATTTAACACTAGCGTGCAAAGTGGTAAGTTGGGCGAATTGGTAAATGTTGAACATGATGAAAGATCACAAAGAGACAAGGACAAAATATATAGGAACACAGAACACAGACAGGCACATACTCACAACTCAGGTATATTAGGTGAAGAAAGGAAAGAAGCAAGATTCACTGGTGACAGGGGACACCGGAACCAGGGGGAATACAGTTCAGTCACAGACAAATGATCGCAAAAAGGCAACTTCTTTTTCACCTAAAGCAACCGACGGCTGACCAATGCAGCTATCGGCCAAACTCCAGATGGTAAACGCCTGGAGCACCTCGCACGTTTGTTTTTATTTGAAGCGTGCAATGATTGAGGTTTTTTCTAAAGATGGTGAGCACGTAGAGGTCTTACAGTGCACCGAAAGGTGAAATGCAAGACATCAACATAAGGAGGTCACCTTTCGGCACTATGTAAGACCTGTACGTCGCACCGAAAGGTGAAATGCAAGACATCAACATAAGGAGGTCACCTTTCGGCACTACGTAAGACCTGTACGTGCTCACCACTTTTAGAAAAAAACCTCAACTGCCTCAGTTGTGGCATGGATGGATGGATGGATGTTAATGGCTATGCCCTTTGTAACGGGCGGTAGCATGCGCCACCTAGCCTAAGTTTAAAAAGACAAACATGATTCCTCCCGCCCTTCTAAGACCAATTTTCTCCCCGTAACTATCACCAGGGAGTGTGGGATATCACCAGAATGACCTTTGAGGGATCGGGCAAAAAAAAGATGAAAACATCACCCCTCGCCTCTTTTCCCTGGGCGACGACAACAAGTCGCAAATTTTCCTCCGGTCAAACCTTGTCGGCATTACACCCAGCATCAGCCCCACTGGGAGAAAGGGTTGAGACTTTGGGCCGGTGCCACATGGGAGGGAGTCCCAATTTTCCTCCGTCCCGTCTGTCCCCAGCTGTGCTAGTTAGTTGTCCATCATTCAATTTTCCCTAGATAATTTCCACCAATCTTCTAATTGCCTCTCTGTGACTGTAATCCTTTTCTCTTCCATTCTTCTAGTGGCGTCACAAAGGTCAGCTACAGGCTGTCCCTATTTGCACTCCCGAGTGCGGATAGGGGCGGATCTAATCCGCGCTTCACGTGCGAATAATTCTGGATTTTTATCCGCACTCCGAGTGCGGATTGTGTTGGATTCATATCCACACTCCGATTGAGGATTGTGCTGGATTCTTATCCAAACTCCGAGTGCGGATTGCGTACGGGGGTGCGGACACTGTACCCGAGGTACGAAGACGTTGGCTCGAAGCGTATGAAGTGTGCTCAGTGATGGAAGCGGCATTTGACCTCTTGTAGCAGGTTCTGTAGCAGGCAAAATATTGGTTGGTAGGAGCCACTGATGCTTTTGGAGCTGATGCCAACATCTGTTAGCACATCACTTGAGAATGAAAGAGAGGTTGCATCTTTTAATGAGTTCATTTAAGATAGTGATGAAGAGTTCATCCTTGATACTCGTTTGTGATAAGAATAGAAAGGGTGTAAAAGGAACACAGTCTTCTTAAATAAGGCTCTAGTCAGAGAAGGTTTCATTTACAATGGGTACCAAAAAAGGGTTGAAAAGATTCATTCCGCTTTGGGATAAATCCTCTCTCCCCTCTTCATTTCACTCCGAAGTTTATTTAGCCTGTAAATATAATTTTTTCCTTAAATGCCAGCAAGAACCGGCATATTTACTAATGCGTCCACATACCAATAAAATGTATCCCATAAGTTTAACGCAGGGATGTGATTGGTCTCAACCATTTTGAAGCACCTATCGGAGCAGCCAAAACAGTGTTTTGGAGCAGCAAATGTGATTTTTGGAGTAACCAACACAGTGTTTTGGAGCAGCAAAAGTGGCTTTTTGAGCAGTCAAGACAATGTTTTGGAGCAGCAAAAGTGGCTTTTTGAACAGTCAAGATAGTGTTTCGGAGCAGATATTCTTATAAAAATAAAATATTTGGTTTAAGTGCTGTACAAACAAAGGAGACTTTGTGTTGTGTTCTGATGTGACGTGGTGCGACAGAACTCGCTCCTTGTGTTTTTACTGCTGAGGCTTCCCACAAGTCTAGTGCTGTAGGCGCTGCCGAGCTGTTCCGAAAAACCACTTGCAACCGTTTTACTGCTTCCCGATGTGCCAGACTTTCGTCAAAAGTAAGCCAACGTAAAATAATGGATTGCAAGTGTCTTGGCTGCGGCCTTTGTCATGCAATCATGTTCGCATGCACGTGAGGGCAACTTCGGCAGGAAGCAATGGCTGACTTTCTACACTGTTAATTGTTTCCCAATGTTATCCTGGTACCTTGCAGAAAGCCCTCTTCCTCTATCTCACCTTCATCTTCCTGTACATAGGAACTCAAAATTTACCTTGCCTCACATTCTTTTCCCATTGCCATGAACATCCCCTAAACTTCAATTCTAGTGCTTGCTTCCCTCTCCGAGAAGCATAATCCATATTACTTCATACATTTTCATCTGAGCTCTGGGCTCAGCCGAGGACGTGTCCCTGGTGGAGGATCTCCGAATCGGCACGGATTTGTACAAGAAGCACTGTTTTGGGCTAGACCACCTGTAGTCTAGACTAGAGCACTGCACGGGCCGGAATTTCTAGGCCCGGCCTGACCCGGCCCGGTAGAGATACGGCCTAGGCCCGACCCGAGCCCGATAATATTTCTAATTTCTAGGCCCGGGCCCGGCCCAAGTCCCAAAAAATTAAAAAAAATGTGGCCAAGCCTGGCCCAAGCCGCAAAAACTGTGACTGAGATGTTTTTTACACCATAAATATGCCGACAGATATATTTTCGAGATATGGGCGAAATATGCACATCATTTGTGAGTCTTTGAACTCGTGGCATAAGACAAAAGAATGGAATTTTTTATTCATGAATATTTTTTAACAGATATAGCACTTTTCGTTGTTTAGTTCAATTTGTTTCACAGAACAATTCCCTTCCCACATGTTTTTGTACAAAAACAATAAATTGTCCAGCGACTCTTCAGGCAGGTACACCTTGTTTGCATGACGTAGCCCTCCGCGCTAAGGTTATGTTCGCATCCAGCACTCGCGAGTGCGCAGGATTTGTTGTTGTTTGCGGTTTTAATGGCGCAAGAGCATCAATGGCCATACTGCACCAAACAAGCAAGTCAATAAAAAAGGGTGAGTAGAACTAAACTATGGGGGAATAGAATAGTTCTATAGTTTGTTTAAAAATCCGGTATTTCCAAGAAAATCAAAAAGACATTTGAATGAAATCAGTGGTCGCTCCCCAAGTAACAAGGCAGGGTGAAATGGAATGCGATACTTGAAAAGATCAGGAAAAAAGAATTTGTGCTGCTGCCAAAGACCAGGAAAAAGAAATAAAATATGAAGAACAGTCAGAGGTTCACTGCAGCGCTCACAGGATGGAGGTTCTTCACCAGTAAGCAGGAGTGGGGTAGGTGTGGCCGATTCTCAGGCGGCATATGAGGACCTCGTGGAATCTATCTTTATTGTAAGATGTTTCCCAGGTACCAAGGTCTGGCTTGATGGTGTGAAGCTTATTGCTAACCTCTACATCCCACTCGGACTGCCACGATTGCAAGACTGCAAGTCTTGTAGGCATTTTTAAGTCTTGGTGGGGATGCGGACATGTGACACGGGAAGATTTTGCGAAGAGAGAGCCAGTTTACCTGCAGCCTCGTTGCCTGCAATGCCTACATGGCTAGGAATCCAGCAAAACCTAATATCGTGCCCATCCTGTAGGCCCTGCTGCACCTTAACACGCACAGTCAGGGTCAGCCGGTTCTTTGTTGATAAAACAGACCATACAACCCTCACAACACTCTGAGAATCTACAAAGATGATGGCTTTCTTTATTTTACTCTGAACAATATGGTCAAGCGCCATCAGGGCCCCATATAGCTCGGCAGTAAAAATACTGGCAAGAGTGTTTAGACGAGCGACTTTGGAAAAACGAGAAGAGTATACAGCCGCACCAACATACATTGACGACTTTGCACCATCAGTGTAAAAATGGTTATAATTTTTGTATTTTTCCTCCAATGCAAAGAATTCCTGCTGTAAAATTAAAGGTGAGACTCTTTGCTTCCTGAATTTTGTGAAGCACCAGTCACAAAAAATGGGTGACATTCCATGGGGCAGTATGGTGTGAACTATTCAAGAGGTTAAAATCACGAGTCAGATTGAGGGAGGAGCGAAGACTCTCGACACGAAGGCTCAAAGGCCTCACAACAGTTGGCGTATGGTTGAAGAGGCGCAAAAACCTAGGCTTTTGAATACAACTACAGTTGAAACCCGATTTTACGAAACCCGATTTTACGAATTTCTCGATTTAACGAACAAATTCAGATTCCCCCCGCAGTTGCCCATAGGCTTAATGCGTTTACGAACTCGAAATAACGAAACAAACTTCGCCGCCAAACCCGATTTAACGAAGCATTCCGGGAAAAAAGATGCGTAGAAAAAGAGGTTTTTCCAAATTTATGGCGTCTAGAATGTATGGCAGTGTGCTGCCGGCGTAGGAACGGTACAATCGACGCAGCGGATACATTCTCGTTTTGGTTCTTACGAAACTACAAACCGAAACCGCACAGAACGACAGACTTCGCATTTCTTTCGAGGCTTTCGATCAGTTCCACCAGATGGCGAAAGCGGCAGCTGGTGCTTGATCTCGCATGCGACAGATGGCAGCACTGACGCTCTTTAGCTCAGCTCCCTCCGCACCTCCGCTTGCCACTCTGGCCACTCTCGCCACTACCGGTTTCCACACCCCAATCGCCTGTGTCCTTCAGCTTTTCGCGCACTTTAGTTTTCTTTCTTCTGCTTTGCTCTGCGCATTCTGTGTCGTCGAAGGATGGAGCCTCCTAAGAAGAAAAGGAAAGTACTGACCCTTGAAGAAAAGGCGAACATAATCCGTGCTGTCGCGAGTGGACGGAAAAAATGTGACGTGGCCGCGGAACACGGCATCCCGGCGAGCACGCTTTCGACCATCTTGAAGACGAAGGACGCCATCATCCTTGCGACTTCCTCTGGGAACGGATCCAAGAAAAAAAACCTGAAGACGACCCCGCACGAGAAGCTGGAAGAAGCCCTCTTCATGTGGTTTAACGACATGCGAGCCAGAAACGTTCCACTCAGCGGGGAAGTGGTGCAGCAGAAAGCGCTCAATTACGCGTGTTTGCTCGGCTTTGACGAGTTCAAGGCAAGTCCCGGCTGGCTCTCGCGCTTCAAAGAGCGCTACGGGATTGTTGGCAAAGTGTCGAGCGGGGAGTCATCCAGCGTGAACAAGCAAGGAGCCGACGAGTGGTTGTCGGAGAACGTGCCGGAGATCCTGGGGAGGTACGCCGTTCAAGACGTCTACAACGCGGACGAGAGCGGTCTGTTTTATCAGATGCTGCCGGGCAAGACGCTCGCTCGGAAAGGGGAGCCTTGCCACGGCGGCAAGCAGAGTAAACAGCGACTAACACTGTTGCTGTGCGTCAACATGGATGGCAGCGATAAGCGTGATCCGCTCATCATTGGAAAGGCCCAGAATCCTCGGTGCTTCAAAGGAGCTAGAAAGCTATCGGCGGAGTACGTGTGGAATACCAAAGCCTGGATGAGCCGCGCGATCTTCTCAGAGTGGCTAAAACGCTTCGACGACGACATGGGCCGCCAAAAGAGGAATGTGTGTCTGCTGCTGGACAATTGCACGGCGCACCACATCCCGGAGCTTCACCTGAAGAATGTGGAGTTGCGGTTCTTTCCCCCCAATGCGACATCCGTCATTCAGCCCCTAGATCAGGGGATCATCAACAGTGTGAAATGCGCATATAAGCGCAGGGTCAACGAGAAGCTCCTGCTGAACTTGGAGATCAAACGTGAGACCAAGATCGACGTGTACATGGCGATCGAGATGGTGGCAGCATCGTGGAGAGCAACCCGGTCCTCGATCGTTGTTAACTGTTTCCGGCATGCTGGCTTCCACACTTCTACTTCCGAGGCTGCGTCGGGCTCCACAAGCCCGCAACACGAGCAGGAAGAAGCATCGCCCAGTTGTTGGGAAGAGCTTCGTCGGCGTGACCAGGTGGCCGCAGATCAGGACTTCGACGACTTCGTGAACGCCAACGCAGACGCGAACACTGATACCACAGAAGTTCTCGACGACGAGGAGATAGTGCAGCTTGTTTCCGGCGCACAAGAAAAGTCTGAAGAAGCGAAAGGTCCGGATGCTATCGAAGCTCCCGTGCCCACACCAAGCCAGGTGATGGACGCCGTCGACCTTCTGAGGCGGTTTGCTGGGGCGCACGAGGGTGCCGAGGACGCTTTGACCTCACTTGCCAGCTACGAAAAGTGTGTGCGTCCGCTGCTCACGAAGCGCGCGCAGGCGAAAATTACGAGCTTTTTTCACTAAGCAATAAATGTGTCGTTCTCTCGAGAGCTGCGAGCTTTTTCTCTTCTTTTTTCTACACGCGCACGCAGTTGTTTACTTGCTCATTCGCGGAGTTCTTTTTAAAAAGTTTCGGCCCGTAGACTGCGCGAATGTGATACCGCGGTAGTTCGTAGGATGCCGCTGCGCTAACACTTCAAATTTATCCAATCCTACGCCCGAAAAATTACGTTCCCGATTTTACGAAGTTCCCGATTTAACGAAATAATTTGCGGGTCCCGGTGACTTCGTTAAATCGAGGTTCAACTGTATAAGTGTGGGAGTTGGGGTCTGACGAAATTTCGTAAACATAGGTGAGGCTAAACAGCTATCGCCTTTTTTCAAACGACATTTCATGACAGTCAACATACAAGCTAAGCACAGGGGAGGTGCGAAAAGCACCAGATGCCAAACGCAGCCCAAGGTGATGTACTGGATCGAGCATTTTTAAAGCAGACGGTCTCGCAGAGGCGTAGACAATTGAGCCATAATCAAGGCGGAATCGAATTAGAGAAGAATATAGACGAAGGAGACATTTCCTATCCGAGCCCCACAAGTTGTGCGAAAGAACTTTGAGTATGTTCGATGCCTGCAGAGTTTTTGGCTTGAGCTGTTTGAGATGCGAAACAAAGGCGAAAGTAACTCCTAAAAACTTGTGCTCCGTTTTGACAGCAACGTTGTTTCCATTTAAAAGAAGTATAGGATCAGAGGCCACGCCTTAAAGAAAAAGGAACACAAACAGTTTTCTCACCTAAAACCATTCTCATCAGCCCATGTAATCATTTTATTTATGGCCAGTTGTAGCTGCCGCTCACAGCTAGACATATTACATGACGCTACAGATATCTGAATGTCATCGACATATAGCAAGTAAGATATTGAAGGAGGAATGACTTTACTAAAAGAGTTAATTTTAATTGCAAAGAGTGTGACGCTTAGGACTCCAACCTGAGGAACACCATTCTCTAGAACAAATCAGCCTGATAAAGTTGTTCCCAAAAGAACTCGAAAAGTGTGTTTACTCGAAAAGCTCTTTATACACTGAAGCATTCTACCGCATATTCCGTACATAGAAAGGTTGTGCAAGATGCCACACTTCTAAGTGGTGTCATAGGCCTGGTCCAAATCAAAGAAAACAGATACACAATGCTGCCTGTTGACGAATGCCTCGCGCACAAAGGTCTTCAGCCGCACCAACTGGTCTGTTGTAGAGCATTCAGGCCGACAGCCACACTGATTGATATCCAAGATATTATGCTGCTTGAGAAAATAAATAAGACGCCTGTTAATTAATCTTTCAAAGCTGTTCCCCAGACAAATTGACAATGCTATTGGTCTGTAACTAGCAGGAACAGAAGGGTCCTTGCCAGGTTTCAACAACGTATAACTTCAGCCCGCTTCCATTCAACAGGGAAGTAGGCATCAATCACGCCACAGGCCATTGAAGTAGGTTGAGAAGAGCGCTGAGTGACTCTTCAGATAAGTGTCGGATCATGTTGTAGTGAATTCCATCGGGACCGGGGGCAGAATTCTTGCGGGAGTTGAGAGCCACTTCAAACTCAACCATTGTAAATGGCTGACTGTAAGGTGCAGACGCTCCCCTCGTGAAGCAGAGCCTCGTCTTTTCCATGCTTGCCTTACGCCTCAGGAATGCTGGAGAGTAATGTGCGGAGTTTGAAACAGCAGCGAAGTGAGTGCCCAACACATTAGCCCCGTTTAACAATGAGGCTCGAGAAGGAAAAAGGGGGATCGTAAAACAATGGTATTTCCCCTCGACTTTGTGAAGTCGGTCCCACACTTCCTTTGCTGGAACATAGCTGCTCATGGAGGACAAGTAACCTCTCCAAGATTTTCCTTTAGCCTGCTTCCGAGTCCAGAGGGCACAAGCTCTGCGTCTCTTGAATTCAATCAAGTTCACAGATGTCGGGTATCTACAAAAGACACCCCAAGCCATATCTTGGTTATTCTTTGTGGTGGAACAATCCTCATTCCACCATGGCTTACATTTCTTGGGGATATTCGAAGAAGTTTGAAGGATGGAGCAAAGAGCAGCACCAATTATATGCTCTGTGATGTAGGCTGTGGCATTGTCACGAGTTAATGAAGAGAACATAGAGGGAACAAGCTTGGATTTTTGGCTAAAAAGAGCCCAGTCTGCTTTTTCTAGCTTCCAATGCGGAGTCTGTTTCATGAGACTGGGAATAGATTTCACGCTCTCCAGAGCAACCGGAAAGTGGTCGCTTCCAAAAGGATTATTTAAAACACTCCATGTGAAACAAGACACCAAGGATGGAGATGAAATGGAAAGATCAATGAATGTAAATGAGTTGTGAGCTGCGCTAAAAAAGGTAGGCTCTCTGCTGTTCAAAAGACAGAGATTAAATGACAGTAAAAAACACTCAATGACCCCACCATGCGAGCCCACAAGGGATGGTGGGCATTAAAATCTCCTAAAAGTAAAAAGGGGTGAGGGAGCCGAGTAACTAAATCATCGAGATCATGAATATGCAGTGGAACATTTGGTGGAATATAGATGGAAACAATGGTGGTAAGGCGGTCCAAAAGGAGATGCACAGCTACAGCCTCAAAGGGTGTAGAAAGAGGAATCTGAGAACAAGCAAGTCCACTTTGGACGATTACCGCTACTCTACCAGATGAGTTTGATGTGAAACGATCTTTTCTAAAAACTTTGTGTCGACATAAAATAGACACATGATGATCATTAAGGTGTGTCTCTTGTAAAGAGAGAGCTATAAGACGGACGTCGTCCATAAAAAAGTTAACATCGTCAATATTCCGTAAAGGGCCACAGGAATTCCACTGCATAAAAGTAACTTTAGCCATTATTCTAAAACAAAGTTAAAAATTAGTAAATCAGTAAAAGTAGTAAGGTACAAGTAAAAGTAAAAACGTCAACTCTGCCACGCAGGGCAATAAAGAATGTACAACATCACGTTGGTGGTATCACCAATTTTTTGCTTTTGTGCTTACTCTTAATAGTCTGCCACTCCATGTCGTCTTGGTCAGACGCATGAGTGGAGAATTCACACTCATTTATGGCCTCAGTTTCCTGAGGCGAGGCTTTTCCTGCAGGTTTCTTCAGGTTCGGGGAACAGGGCGCCATGCCCCGCCCGCGACCAGACCCAGCCAAAGAGGCAGAGAAGGTACTGGGCGAAGCGTCGCCCAAGTCTACCCGTTCCTGACCCTTAGGTGCTGCAGGTGCGGCACGAGAGTCATGCCGCTCCCTCGATGATGCTCTCTCCAGGGAGTGTGGGCGAGAGTGTCGACCCTTCTCCCTGGAAGGAGATCGCAGAGGAGGGACGGTTGCGGCAGCCACCAGCCCATCCTGGGTTTGGGAAACAGCCTGAGAAGATACAGGCTGTTGCCCTGTTAGAGTGCGAGGGTTCGCACTCTGGCTAGGAGGGTCCGTAGACCGCCCAGCTGAGATTGCATGCCCCGGAAGCTGAATCTTCAGCTGGAGCGTGCGGGACTGCCGTGGCTTCCCATAGTCCAGAAAAGACGTCTGGGTTGCCACTGCAACCTTCAGTGGTGCAGGTCCCCGCTGCACCACCTGCGCATAGCCACCCTTGCGCAAGAACACAAAGCGATGGTGCGCTTCCGGCTAAGAGAGGTTTTCTTTGACCTTCAAGGTGAGCACCTCTTTCTCTTCTTTCCATGTCTTGCATGATCGAGAATACGCTGGGTGTGGATCACTACGGTTGACACAATGGGCTTCGTCGGAGCAGGAGTCCGCAGAATGGTCATTTTTCCCATACTTGGTACAAGTGGCCTTACCACGGCAGTTCTGAGAGCCGTGGCCAAACCTCTGGCATTTAAAACGTCCTCGAGGATTAAGCACATAGGGCCTAATCCTGCAGTGGAGATAGCCAGACCCAACAGCCTCGGGAAGTGTGGTAGATTCAAAATAAAGGTTAAGACTATGTACCATGTTGAATTAACCTGAGACTGGGGTAGAGAAGAAACATCAAAACGTAGAAGAAAACATAGTCCCCTTTTCTTACATGGTTAATATTCACCAGCTCGCCTGCACCCTTATGATTTTTTCTAAGACTATGTGTTTAGTTTTCCGCTCTTGACTGTCCCGACGCATGGAGATGCTCCTCACAGCTACAACTCCTTGGTCAGAGCCCTTGAAGTATTTCAGTGTCAGAGGCCTCAATCAGGTCATCTTCGGAGATAGCGCCCTGAATAGTATTGAGTGTACAATGTGGTGAAACAGTCACTTTGTGATCAAACACAGAATTCAAAGCAAGGAGTGCAGTACTCTGCTGTCTGGATTCAATTTCTATGAGTAGGTCACCTGAGGGCATTCGTTTGGCTTTGAAGTTCTTTCCGACCGCACTTTCTAGCACTTTCGCAACAAGAAAAGGGGACATCTTGGAAAGGTGTATTGTCTTCCGAGTGAATAACCAAAAATTTGGGGAATGTAGGGGGGATGAGGTCATGTCTTTCAGAGGGACTTTGGTGCGGACCCTTTTCAGGGCCCGATCAGAAGGAGGTTTTGCTTTGGAACCCATGAGAGATGGGAGGAGATTCAGTGCCCAGGTGCACCGCCCACCACGGAGCCCAACAAGGGGTAGGTAATGTGCCATAGAAAAAAGGGCTTGGCTGACACAATTACTCTACCAGTGCTGCCCGGGCACTATACCCTAGTGTGGTTGCAGGGACAGGACCTGTTTCCACTCAAGGTTGACCCTTGCCGCTTAAGAGGGTGAAAAAGGAAGGAAGAGAGTGTAGAAAAAAAAAGAAAGGTGGAAGGAAAAGTGAAAGAAGGAAGAAGAGGGTAGAAGAGGTGACTGACTGAATCATCCTGATCGGGCCAAGCCAGGACACCCGTCTACTAGAAGCAGGGGCCGAAGCGGTGTATTGCATCGCCCGGGGGGCCCCGAAGGGTCCAAACGTACTACGGGTTCAGCTCAACCTCAAGGATCCCCTTTTCCCCGGACACGGGTATGCCACGCACAGCTTGACGTGGGTGGGCGAACCCACATGGCTCGGGGTTCGTAGTGACACCACTCACCAAGCACCTACTAAAGTAGGTGCCCCCTGCGTGCGGGTATGGTGGCCAGCGTGGCTGGTGTCCGTGGTAACGCTACTGACCAAGCACCTAGCACCTAATATGCAGGCGCCCCCTGCGAGGCTCGGAGTCCGTGGAAACGCCACTCTCCAAACACCTGTTTTCGCAGGTGCCCCCTGCGGGGGCGAGTGCACAAGATGCATTTGGATAGAAAGGACAGTTTCGGAAATTCCTTCTCGTGCGTTCTCCAGAAGTCGCAAGGCTCAAACACTTCAGAGCACAAGTAGTCCTTCCCCTTGCCGTGCAGATAGTCCTTCAAATAGTCGGTAGCTACCTTGTCATCCTCCGCGTCATACCGGTCTTGAAACAAACACAGGCCCCTTCTTTTCAAAGCAGGATCTGAACGTCATCGTCAGTCTCATCTTCATCTTAGTTCATTGCTTCAGTGACACGGGCAAGTAGCTTTGACGTGCGCGTAGACTTCAAGGCGCTCGTCCTCGGGCAACATGCGGAGTTGGTGGAGATGAGGCCAGAGAATTGTGTGGCGGTCTTATGGAGGAGAGATATGTTCAGCTTCGTGTCCAGGAAATGACAAGCCAAACCTTGATCGTCTCGATTTGCACTGCCTCTACTGCAGACACTGGAGCATGTTCAAGATGGTTCTTCAAAGCGGAAGCACAAAGCACAACCAGAGGAAGTGTCGGACATTTTTCCCTTTGAGCGCATCACTAGCATCTTTGAAGGGTGGGAGGAACTCGATTAACTCGTTGAGTGTTGTCTTGTTCACGCTTTCCATCACTGGATTGTTCTTTGACTCCAGTAGACCTTTTATCTCCTCGAACTGAGAGCAGACAGACTTTAGCATAGATATTTTTCGCACACGCGGTTGTCACTTTCTTCCACTGGTGTAGGAGGTTTAGAGCATTGAGGTGATAAAAATAGAAATACTTGTGCCGTTCGATGAAACCTTGCACTTGTGCCGACTGAGATGAGACGTCCCTTACTTTGAACAAACGACACTGAACATGTCTTTTGGTCACCGACGACCTGGAGTCCACAGCTGTGAGAAATTTTTCCCATACAGAGCTCATACATATTGTCTTCTCAACAAGTTTGTAGAGCGTATGTGATGCCAAGCTCACCGATTGTCAATATTGGCGCACCACCTTCCATTGCTGCCATTGGGACAGAGGGTGGCAGTATAGAAAATAAATGATAATACAAGAAAAGGTTCTCTGGAAAGATAGACCTGTCAAGTGTCTGTTTCTTACTGGACGGTTGGTAACATGGGCAGGACATAGGTTGATTCTATTGGACACTTCAAACCCGGAAATATTAGAAAAGACAATCACAACCTTGCTAGTGCATCTTCAAAAGGATTCGTAAAAAAATATATATATCTAGGGTATGTTAGCATGTTTTTGGTGGCACAGTAAGGCCCGCGCAGAAAGTAAGTCGAGGTCATGTTTTTCTTCTTTTTTTTTTTGTTTGAAAAGCAGAGGAAAAATATTATCATGCTGTACCCTGCGACCGGAGTGCCCTTGTTTTCTTGCCCGAACTCTCCCACTATGCTGGTGGAGTCCATATGTTTTCTTTTATACGCTTGAAGGCTTTCTAGCTGCAAGACGCATTTTTGTTATCGTGAACGGCACTGTAGTGACTTTGCACTTCGCCTTTTTACTTTTCAATTAACCTAAAAAATGAATGACCTAACTTTTTGTTCTCAACAATTTAGAATTTACGGCACGCCTAGAGACGGCCCGGGCTAGCGCGGCCCGAGAACTTTTTTGTTCAAGCTTGAGCCCGGCCCGGGCCCGAGAAAATATGTGCTGCCGGGCCCGAGCCCGGCCCGCGGGCCGGGCCGAGCTAGGGCTTTCGGGCTGGCCCGGGCCCGAGTAGTGCTCTAGTCTAGACCCAGCCATTTTACTCTCTATATGAAAGAGGTTGAAACGAAAAACTTACCAAGACTTAAGGAGTGGATCGATTCCATTCAAATTGCTGGCTGTGATCAAGTTCGCAAGTAGGCATGGGCGATTACGAAGGAGCCACGGGACCACTTGAGATGACTAGGACCAAATGCAGAGAGCAATCACTGTAATTAAGAACAAAGCAGGCACACCCTTGAAGCACATCAAGTTAGCCAGGCAGCTATGAGGATAACACACAAGAGACACCCACCCACAATTTTATAACAATGACAAATTAATGAGAAAATGGAATGCTAAGCACCTAGCAATGGGTGCTCGCTTGCACATGTTAACAGAATCCATTTTCTTGTTTTCTGCCACAATGCCATTACAGTAAAATTTCGATCAGTTAAGGCGAGACACTGGTTCTAAAATGGACTATTTTATTTTTGCAGCTATACTAATGAACATCACTGTGCATATGTGTTCCTTCTTCCTCAATTCAAATATGAAATCAGTTTCAAAATATCTCAATTAGTTTTCAAGTTATAAAAAATAGTGTTGCCTAATTTGGTTAATTTCTTACGGGTCGTTAAGGCCATTTCGAACAAAAATATTTTTTTTTATTGATGTAGATGCATAGCTAAAGGTCTGCCATGCATTATAAAGCTATTTATATTTTCACAAAATTACATTATAATACAAAAATGTACTAATTATGCTAATTATGACACTAATGAGGTTGCATTATTTATCATAAAATTTTTGTTGTCATTATAAACTGCAAAAAAATAGCCTTACTCCACAGTCCAGTCCTTTCTGAATAAAACGGTATAAAAAGTTTCAAAATGCTACGATAAAAACCTCATGAAAACCCCCGTAAGGCTAAGCACGTTGACAAAAAACATGAAGATGAGAAAATCAAAGTTAAAGTTTTGACATTGAACATAGAAAATTGTGTGAACAATGATAAATAATAATTGCCACCAAGGTGTAGTGTAAGTCTTCATGAACAACTTGACATAAAAGATGATGTAATCCATTTATGGGAACATTAGGAAAAAAATATGAAAGAAGTAAAGAACGAGTGAAATGTTGATAAAATCACATTTTCCTGTTTCGACGCTGACTACAATAAATTATGTGAAAACCCTTATGCAATAATAGTTATCAAGATGTAGTGTAGTGCATTCTGAACAAATCATTTTAAAAATTGCAATAATTTGTTTTTGAGAAGATTGCAAAAATGGTGAAGAATTACTGATATAGGCTAAAAATTGCTTCTAAAGTGATGAGCCGACAACTTTGGACAACGGGAGAGGCGAGCAAGAGTTTCAAGCTCCAAACGTAATTTTGTTTGGCCCTGAAAAGGGCCTTTGTTCCACATGGCACTGGAAAAAGCCATTACAGCTGTCCTGGGCTGTAATCTCGTGATGCTCCTGCCTGGTGTCGCTTGGAGAACCTTTCCTTCACGCTACTGCTGCTCTGGTGCACCGCGTTTGCTTTACGTAAACGGAGACTGTCCTTTTCGATGCTTCGGCGGACAAGGCAGTCACCGGTGGCGTAGCCCAGGCCTGCAGCAATGGACTCGTTGGTCGCTCTCCTTCCCTGGTTGTAGACAGCAACAACTTCAGCCGCAGCCCTCTTCACGCTGTCCAGGGAGGCATTCGCATTCTTTGAAGTCTGCGTCCAGATCACCGAATGCAGGCTCTCACTGGCATTCTGCGTCTTTCCCTCACTACACCGTGCCAACAGGTCTTCATTGCTGAGCCTTTCAAACACTGGCTCCAGTGCAGCCCGAACACAATCCGGAAGAGGATTCTTGTGCGGCGGCGGAGGCTCACTGTTTGCCAAGGCCCTGTTGTACTTGCACCAGGACTCCGCTCCCTCGGGGCACTTGCTGTGGTCTGGGGCGCCGTCTGTGGAGGTCATGTGCAGGAGTGTGGCTTCCACCGCCCTCTTCATCCCTGGAACGTCATGGCTGTTGCTCCTGAGAGCATAGCCGTAATAGTTAGTGATCTTCTTGATCTTTTCCTGTGTCAGCTTTCCTCTCCCACCAAGTGACTCGCCTTGTGCCTTCTTCTTCTCAACAACGTTGCGCAAGGCAGCTCCCATCCGCTTGTGGACGTGGTTCACGCAGTCCTTCTTCTCTATCTTGATGAAGCCGTAAACCTTCGCTTCAGACAAGGCATGGAATGTCCGGCTGTCCCCATCCGAAAGGACGGTGGTGTAGCGGAGACCATGCTTGGTCAGAGACCTCTGGAACATTGTGAGCGCAGCCTCCACCTCCATACGGCCAGCATTGCAGTCAATGTTCCTCTGGCAGTCGTGGGTTGCGTACCAGTCGCTGTAGCCATCGTCCTCGGGCTCCGGTCCCAAGGCACATCCAAGGCAGAAGTTGGAGTACACAACATGGTCGATGACGAGGCCAGAGTACAACTCCACAATGCAGCCTACACCAATGTGGGAGCTGCGTCCTCGGGTCATCCATGATCCGTCGAAGATGACATCGATGTTGCCAATGGGGTTCATAAAGCCTGTGTAGAGCCCCTTGACGACAGCAACACTGGCGGCTTCACTGTCGGTTGCTGCATTCTCACATGCCCGCACAAGCGTTTTCAGGTGTCCCTGGTACGTCTTGTGGTGCAGGCCCCGATGAGAAATGTTCATGGAGGCACAGAAGTCTGCCAAGGCTGTCACTCCTTTGCCAATGGATTGGATCCCCTTCATGGCCCTCATGTTCACTTCAAAGGGAGTGATCTTTGCTGTTCCAGCAACCCTGGGAGAGAAGAACTGCTTCTTCTGGAAGTCGCAAGTGCTGCAGACGAGCACAAGCTTGACGGCCAAGCCGTACTCCTTGTCCGCGGCCTTGCTGAGCGTGAGAGATCCCACACCGCAGCTTCCACACCTCGCGTGCGCGAAGAGGTCGTTGAGGACTTTCATGTCGACGATGACAAACTGGGTCCCGGCATCGCTTGTTTGGCATGATCCGTTGACTTCAAGCAGATCGAACTTCCGCTGGGTCGCCGACTTCTCCGATAAAACGCGCTTGCTTTGCTCCGATCGCTCGGCGCGCTGCGCTTGCTCGGCCGTAGAGTAGTAGGTACAGTCGACGCGAGTGGTGCCGGCAAAACTTGAGCCATCCGGACCAGAGCTTGAGGCCGCTGCATCGTCAACGGGAAGGCTAGCCGATGGTCCCGGCAGGTCCAATGCGTTCGGCAGTGGCGCAGATCGTAGCGGCGCACTTGCAGGTGATGTCTTCCGCTTGTTCCACGCACGTCGCGTCTTCCTCCCGAACGTCCGCCGCGTACTCTCCTTCAATCGAGAGTCCCCCGGCATCTCGATCGCTCGAAATAAAACTCCCGCAACTTCGTAGCGAGAAACCAACGATGTCCGACGCGAACGCGCGAACGTAAACGATTTCGAAACAACGTGCACTCAGCCGCGAAACGAACAAAGCGACGGGCCAAAACGAAGCAGACGACGCTTCTCCACGCTCCCCTTGCGCTGCTGGAGGCGCGCGCGCGCCAAGAGGAGGAAAGGAGCAAAAGTGGAAAGGGGCGCGTCTTGGCCTATGACAGGCGCGCGCGGCACGACGTACCCGTGACGTACGCGCGCGGGCCAATGAGCAATCGTTATTCCGGTCGTGAAAACCCGCGGAATGCGGACGCTCTCCAAGGTTGTCGCGATAGTGAGTGGGATGAGGACGTAGGGAAGAGAACCAGCTCCCCAACAAGACCAAGATGGCCGCGATCCAACGATCGGTCGTGAAGCGACGCGGGCGCGCAGTTTGACTATTTTTTTGCGTTGGATTCGCGATTTGAGCGTCGCGGAGGCATCGTATTTATCGTTTTTTTTATACTTAGACGTCGAATAGGACATTGAAACTTCGCAGGCAGGTACTTCAGACTATATTCTATCCAAACATGTGATTTTTGAAAAACCCCAAATTTCGCGATTTTTTACCATTTTAAGACCCGCGTCTCGCCTTAAAGGGGAGACTGGCAAAAGATAAAATTTGAGGTAACTATGCCACTGGAATCATTAGCAGTCAGCAGCGGCAGTGGCACCTACTTCTCCGTGCTAATCTGTCTTCACGCCATTACAGTGTCTCGCTGCAAAACGCTGTGTCAGTTCCAGCCAGGAACGGGGGCATCGCCACGGAAAGCCTAAGCGATTGACAATCACCGACACCGGCACGCCCCCTCGCCGCAGCCAAGCAAGGATATAAGAAAAGGGCATCGCAGGACCGCTCATCTATTGGCAGTCAGCAGCGGCAGGGGCACCTACTTCTCCGTGCCAATCTGTCTTCACGCCATCACAAGTTGGTGCTCCCTCTTTAATCATTTTGATCATTCTATGGTTGTTGCTATTGCCACTGCTGACATTTCTAGTGCCTTAGTGTGTGCTTTTCTTGAATACTGTGTCATTGGATGATGACGAGTGCATATCCTGCCCTGCGACACTTTCCGAGGACGGCTCGTTTTTAACGTGTGTTGAATGCGAGTTCAGTTATCACTTTGGTGAATGTTCTGAAACCAAAACAACTAAGGCTAAGAAAGCAGCTGCCAAAAAATCCTTGGGTATGCCCACCTTGCAAGATAACTAAAACGAGAGGTGGTCAGCACCGGAAAAATTGAAGCAGAGTAAAGAAACTAAAGACCACGAAGAAGGAAACATGCTGGTGGAAATAAACAAGAAACTTGCTGCACTTATGGAAATGAAAGGCAGTGTAGAGAACATTGAAAAAAAAGTACAGGATGTGTCAGACAAGTGTGATGGGCTACTTGCTGAGATGCGCAGTCAAAGACAAGAAATAACGGACCTTAAAGAACACATACCAAACGTAGAAAACACTGATAATGAAGAAACAAAACAGCTCAAGCGAAAAATTAATGGCCTCAAACAATACAGCAGGCCGCGAAACCTTGAAATTCATGGCCTGCAATATTCGGTGAATGAGACCTTACTGCAGAAGCTGAACGACCTAGCCTTAGAGCTCGACCTACCGCCACTAATAGGAACAAGAACTGGAAGAACCACACAGGTTACCAACAAAGCCCGAAAAAACACCAGCTGTGTTGATCCGTTTTTGTACATGAGCAACAAGAAACCGTTGGCTTTAAAAAAGAGGACAGCTTCGGGGAAACAGGCAACAATTCTATGAAAATGTGACGGCACAGAA